TTAATGGCCAGAACTAAATGATATACAATATTTTATAATAAACCCAAATTAGTTCAGCACCATTGGTTCTTATAACACTGTTCATTCCAATACTGCTAGAACATCAGCAATTAACAAAAGTTGGAGTTTCATCCGATGACATGCATACTTCTAACCATGCTGTCCATGCAGCTATCTGACAGTTTTTAATCTTCAACATTGATTCCCAAAGCCATTATTGTCAAGATTTGCCAAAAAGGTTTTCCAAATATTAAAGTACAGATTTATATTACATCACTCATCACTGTTCATTTTACATTCTTCCAGTAGATGCATGTTTACAGTACAGTATGTCTTGTGTATTTATAATTAAATCTTGCAAAATCTTGTTCAAAACCCTCAAATCCAAGATAATCGGCAGCCAGCCATGTTACCAGTAAGATTTCTAGTCTGTTGATTTTGAAATAACCAAGGTTTTACTCGAATATAAATATTTATACTTTAATTATTGAATAGCCCCTGTATATCGCTGACAAGGTATGCTGTTGTCGCGATATAAGATATTCTTTTGCTCGCCAAAGGACTTATTTTACGCATAATTGTATCTCTAAATTGATCATTCCTGACTTAAAATTCCAAAAGCCACGCGAGAAGCAGTTTAAGACGTCTTTACAAGTCCAAATATATCATAAATTGCAACAAATAATCCATTCTCACTCCTGGCGTAAAAATATGCCCAGTCAGCGTTTTTAGCTGGAGCTACTGTTTACTTCCGCTTCCGGGGGCACCAATGTTCTATGGTGTTTCGGTTTGGATTATCCCAGGGCTTCTGAGAGCAATAAGCGCAGAAGCCCTGGGTACGAGGTTGCTTGACCCCCCGTTCGAAAGGTTATTTTATGAGGATTTCAATGGTGGCATTTATTTAAAAGGGGGGGGGGGTAAATACTCGCCGAGATATTTATATTAGAAAAATTGAATCGAAATGTAATGCGAAACCGGCCTGTCGAGAAAGAGTTTTTATGCTTTATATATGTTCTTAATAATACAAGTGAGATTTAAATTTTTTGCTTTGTGAAATAGAATAACGTTATTTTTAATGGACAGCATGTATCGTCTATCATATCCAGGATTGCTTGTGTGTAAATAGCCAATATGTATCACTATATATGCCACTATCAAATAAATATAGAAACATATTTGTCAATTTAATAATAATAATAATATTTATTCAGGAAGCTCCACTCACCGAAGTGTTTTTCAGGGAGGTCCTGTAATATATATATATCTATATTATACATGGTAAACTATACTATGCTTATTTAAAAACTAAAAAATACTTACAAGTGGATTATATATAATTATACTTCATAGTTAGAAAAAAAACTCAACTTAATTAATTAGATAAATTGTTCAACTTAATTGAGAGCCTTGTTTTACTTAATAGTAGCATAATGACTAATGAACTAGAAATAAATGATTGCATGAGACACAATGAAAACTGTTAGTAGCCTTATAGTAGAAGTAGAAAACTTGAAAATTTATGTATATTCGTATGGCAGTCTGTGCGCGTCTGACACCGTAAATTAGTGATGTAGATTACAGCCTAGTTGTCTGTATATTAGGAAAACATTATCAGACCAAGAAAAAGGCTAAAGCCTTACTATAATTAATGAATACGAATTATGTATTAAATCCAAAATTTTAAAGATACATCACTGACAGACATTTCACTGTTTGTCTAGTATCAAGTGTTTACATTTGCTAATATTGGGCTATACCGCCTGTAGTCCTAGAAACAATACTGTTTCCTTTAAAAATCTTGTAAACAAGACGCGTAGTAACAAGTAAATAGGTGCAAAGCCTATCAACGTTTACAAGAAAGGAAAAATCTAATGCATAGTTTAAAAACATTACATGTATGTAGAAATGATGACCACTGAAAAGCCCCACATTAGTTCAAACGTCTGTTATAAAACCGCGCTCGCATGGCCAGAAATTGCGGACATGGATTCTGAGCATGTGCGAACTTTGACAAACAAAATGGCGGATTTGTTATATATAAATCATTAGGAGTGGCGCGGTTTTTTTTAATTTAAACTTGTTTGATAATAGCTATGTCATTTGCAGATTTCGCAATAATATAAACCCTATCTGGACCGTAGAACTGAAAAGTTTCGCATCGAAATCTTACCTATAAGTTGTTCCATTATTCAAGTTCACTTCATAGTACATCGGCGTTTAATAAAGTATAGTAAAACTTGAGAAAATCGTCGAAAACGTACATTTTGCTCTGACCGCATGTATCGCTCGAACCCTTCATGAAATTTACAGACTTCGCGTCGTATAATATATGTTGTCCCCTGCATGTCTGCATAATTTCATAGTGATACGAATTTTTTTAATTGTTCCAATTTACGGCACAAAATGTTGATATTTTACACATAAATACCCTGTCCATAGGCCGTAAAACGTTGCAAGAAGAACGATGTTTCATGAATTGTCGTCCATGTTTGATATCAACAAGAGACTTAGGAAGCTGGCTTTCTTCCAGTGTGGGTTACAAGTATAGGTTATTTTGAGGCAACGAGGGGATATGTGATTTATTCACCGAGGCGCGCAGCGCCGAGGTGAATAAACACATATCCCCGAGGTGCCTCAAAATAACGTACTTATTTTTCACATTGCGAGGTCGCGTTAATGAGACAGAATAGAAATATTTCTTAATGACATATTGCCTTCGTTATGTTGTTTTTTCTCATTTTTTTGTGCTGCAAAAGCATTGCAGGTGAATATTAGAGGGGATTATTAATTGCAGGTGAATATTAGAGGGGATTATTAAACGGAAATTGATTAGAGTGGAATATTGAATATATTCCCCGATAAGAACAAAGGAAACCGAGCAGGGTGAAAAATAAGGAGGGATAGCGATGTATACACAAAATATATGAGTCGTTTACCATGCGTATCACTTTATATCCAATCATAATAAATGAAAGGTATGTAAAAGGCCGACAATTCCTAATATATCTATTTTTTGCTTTAGTTAAACAAAAAACTAAGCAAAATTTATTTTTTTTAGTTAAAACTTGCCTTTGTTATGTATGAATAACTTTTCATAAGAAAAACCGCTGAGATATATTGTGGGCGCATGTCCTGAATTTCTGGCCATGAGTGTGAAGAGAGCGTTGAATAACAACACGAGAGAGCACTGCGAGTGAATATTTGCTTGGTTTCTTGACTTTACTGTTGGTAAGATTGTAAGAATGCTCTTCTAAATTCAAAGTAAATAAAATAAACCAAAATTAGCAAGTATTTTGAACTAAATAATTCGCAAAATTGATATTTTTAACAGTTTGTAATTTGATACTTTCCCCACACACCCTCGGGCGCTAAATTTTGGACGAGGCACGTGACCAGCCGATACCCACGGTCTTTCCTAAAGACCCTGGGAACGAGGTTGAGAACTGGTGTGTAATTTTACACACCAATTGCAAATTGTGTATAAATACACACCTTTTCGAAAAAAGGCCGAAACTTTCCGAATGACGAATAAATTTCCGAATATTTCATGACACACGAAGAAACGAAGATGTTTTCTATCCGTAAAATGAAGACGCAATTTACAAACAAAAATACGCATGTTTTACGCACAGACTATTACAGAAGCATGCGGTGCCGTAGGAAGCTCTTTTTGATTGGGGGCTGAAAACGAGGGCCGAAGGCCAGAGGGAATTTTTAAATTTGGGGTCTCCGAAATGCCATTTCCTGAGCTTTGGGGGAAGTTTTGACAGAATTATGATGGCCAGAAAACAGCGTTTATTATGTCGAGATTTACAATTTGCTTACAATTTAGTAGAACTAAATGGACAAAGGCGTATTTAATGAACTATATATTGGAGAAGTTGCAGGAAAGAGTATGGGTAATATGATTTTTTGCGGTTTGTCATTGATAATGTAGCCGCTTAAAATTAATAAATTGTCAGTATTTTAAAGATATATTATTTAAATGATAAACGTGAGCATGATTTTGAAAACAGAATGATTATTAGCAAATTATTGTGAGGGCTGCAGCCCCACCCCCCAGTTGCTACGGTCCTGAGAAGTAATAAACCGAAAAAACCTAAATAATTTAACGATTTACGATTTGTTAAATGTTATCCATGTAAATGCCGTGATTATCAGTTTATACTGACAATGTAATTATATAATATTTCTCTGTTTAAACAACTAAAATTGTGTTATACTATTATTGCCGTAATTTTCCGAATGGCCAACCCGATTTTCCGAATATGTTAATTCTAAAAAAGTTGGCGGGTTAACCCCCCCCCCCCCAATATCCCCTCGCTACGGCCCTGTGAACGGTTTTGAAGTAGAAAACTTTGCAGTTCTTGCTTCCAATTCTTTCCTTCAATTTCTTCTGTTTTCAACAGTTTTTCAATTGGTTTCATAAATCTTTCTACGACGCCATTACCCTGGGGCCATAGTGGTGTAATTGTTTTCCATTCAATACCGTATGTTTCAAATTCTTTCCCATTAAATGGTGGTCCAATGTCAGTTTTAATTTTTTATGGTACTTCATTTCTTGTAAATATCGTATCTAATTTTGGTATATGCAAGTTTTTGCTTCGGTTGAGTTGACTATAATAATTCTAACTCTGGGAATTTTGAGTAGGTATCGATAAGGTAGGGGGGGGGGAGGTCGCCAAAAAAAAATTTCGAGAAAAATTTTTTTAAACACGAAAACGTTGGTCATTTTCATTGAAAAAGTTGGTCATTATGATATGACGCCCCCCCCCCCCAATCTGGAATCGTTCGCCACGCCCCTGGCTCTGCTTGCATATGAAAGGATTTTGTACTCCTGACTGCGATGTTCTTTCTGTGCTAGTATTGCACTAATTGCATAAGGGGAGCCATCTACGATTACCAGACTTCGTTTCTTTGTATCGAAATATGCCATAACTGGGGTACTTGTTAGTTTCTTTTTGAGTTGCTCAAATGCTTTCCGATGTCTATTTTCTCGCTCAAACTTTCTTGGTTAGTTCTCTTAGAGGTGCTGTAATAGTTGCATAATCTGGAATGTATTCGTGGCAAGTGTTCGCCATTCCCAGAAAGCTTCTAACTTCTCCAGCAGTTTTGGGAGCTGGTACTCTAACCATGTTCTCAATTCTCTCTGGATCTGACTTGGTTCCTGCTGCTGTAAATTTTAATCCAAAGAACGTAATTTCTTCTTGTAGGAATTCACATTTTCCCCCTTCCACTTTCAAGTTTTGTGCTGCTAGCCGCTTTAGACAGTTCTCCAGTGCTTCAATTCAATTCAATTCAATTTATTAAGTCAAATTAATTTACAAAATCAATAAAATGTTGCTGTCCACAAATAGCAAAAGCTAATCGTGGTGGACAGCAACTACACACATTCGGAATTAAAGAAGATTTCAAAAATTCATTAGTAAATACAAGCTTTATTCATCACCAAAAGGCATATATATATATGATAGAAATACATTCACCATATATACAAACATAATGTCTAACGAATGATCAAACTTAAATTCAAGATCATAAAATAATTTAACTTTTAGATTATTGCGATTTCTTTTTGTATTGTTAGAATATCAATATAGTCGTCTTTCTTTTCTAATATTTGAAGTAACTTTCTATGTAAAACTTTTTTAAAGTGATTCTTTGATTTTTCACGTAGTTCTGTAGGAATGCTATTCCAAATTCTACCTCCAATTCTTGAGAATGATTTGCTTTGCACATCTAAACCTGAATATTCAACGTGGAAGTTCTTCCTAGTGGAAGATCTGGTGTTGTGTTCGTGTACCTGACTTAATGGGGTAAACAAAGCCGAAATATTTGGGGTACTACTGAACTTAATACGTCATGCATTAGTATTGATACTGATTTGCAATAAAGCAAATGTATTGGCAGAACATTAGCTGACAGAAAATAAGGAATGCCATGAGACAGATAGTGTGCAGAATATATTAAACGAAGAGCACGTTTTTGGAGTTTCAGGATTTTATCTAAGTAACATTTGGCAGCACATCCCCATACAACAATAGCATAAGTTAGGTAAGGCAGCATATAAGGGACTTATAGATACTTATTAGTGTACTAACAGGTACAAAATGACGCAGCCTACCAATTACGCCAATTCGTTTGCTACGATTAGAGGCAATGTACCCAATATGAAATTTCCATGAAAGATTTGAGACCATGAGAACACCAAGATATTTAATGTAATTTTTAGTTTCTAGTGAGACGAAAGTATTGGACTGTGCATCATACATCTTCAAATCTACCGCATAATCCAGCCGTTTTTGGTAAGAATGAAAAATAATGAAATTAGATTTTTTTATGTTTAGGGATAATTTATTAGCTGTTAACCAGTTATAGATATTAAGAAGTTCAGTATTGACAATATTTTCTAGTGTGACTTTCAACGTGTGACTTTCGGGTTTTACCATGAATAATAATATCATCCACCAGGTTTTTCACTCCTCTGATATCGCTAAGGTTTTGTTGTAGCACATTTTGGAATATCTCGGCTACACTGTTCGTACCGTCATTTAATCTTTTGTACTGGAATAAAGGAATACAGAATTGTTTTCTGTGCAGGATTGCGTGATCCATGCACGCGGGATGTTGCGAGACTTTCGGAAAGCGTGAAAATACACGAGCCGTAGGCGAGAGTATTCTTACGCTTTCCGAAAGTCGAGCAACATGGCAAGTGCATGGATCATGCTATCCTGGACCGGAAAACCATTTGGTAATTGTTTTATAAAATTACTACGTTGAAACGACGGTTAACTTGATTAAAATTACTGATGAAATGTACAGTTCTCACAACAATCGTGAATTAACCAATCGGAGAATCGCTACTCCACGCTATTGAAAACAACAACAAATGTGAACAGAATTTGATCGCAAATTCGCGAAAATATACAGCGAAAATACAGAGATTTTTTCGACAAAATATACAAAATTTGAAATGGAAAACCCGCTAAACAGAGAGCAAAAGTAGTTTTAAAGATTCTAGATCTGAATACTTGAAGATTGCGAAGCGTTTGAACTTTGAAGCGAGAGATGTTGTCCTTGCCATGGTCTGATGAATTTCAACGCTACGGGTTGCTAATTGCTGAACAGCAATGTATCGATCAGAAATTTATTCATACAACTAAACCAACGACTCAATAATTGCAGACTTACTTCAAAGTCGAAAGGTATGGTACAATGAAACTTTACAATGCGAGTATATTTGTAAAATTATGTGCAAGAATTTCTGTTCAGAATTTCCCGTGCAGGATTGTCTGATCCTGCACGGCTGTTGACCAATCAAATTGCGTGTTTCACTGTAATTGTTATATAACAATCCTTCATGGGTAGAAAACGTTGTAATGAATCGACTGTCCGGGTGTAATTCGAGCTGGTGATATGCTTGCTTTATTAAGTCAATCTTTGAGAAGAATTTTGCTCCATTTACCTCAGCTTTAAAATCTTTTAAAGTTGGGATTGTGTGTGTCTCTCTCTCTTTCGATTGCCTGGTTTACTTCCCTCATGTCTACACATAGTCTCATACCTCCGTCTTTCTTTGGCGTGAAAACTATTGGAGATATCCATGGTGTTGGCTGGTTGGTGACTTTCTCGACAATGTCTTGCTCTTCTAGTTTCTTTAGTTCATTAGAAACATCATTTCTCACATGATATGGTATACGTCTTTGCCGCTGCATAACTGGTTTAACATCATCTCGGATATGAAGTGTAATTTGTTGATTGTTTAATTTTCCTTGGCCCTTGAAAACTGTACTATATTTGTTATGATTTCTTGTATTTTTGGGTCTTTTGATTGAGGAACACTTGTGTTGATTTCTGGATTGGTCTCGCATGCAGTGCTGTGTGTATTGTTTTGATTTGTCTTTGTTTGTTCATCTTGTTCAGGAAAACCGGAAATTGTGTTAATTAGCTGGATCAAGGCCAAATCTTGGGCTGTTGTAGAAGTTAATAAATTTCCTCCTGCACCGTCTATTACATATATTAGCGACACGGTATAACGCTTTTTCAATTCGAGTGTTGTTTGAAATTGTCCGTTTAGAGGCAGAGGTGTGTGAATCCATATGCGTAGATTTTAATTGAACTTTTCCATAATAAACTTTTACTTTGCTTGTTGTTTTCGTTGTTTATTCTCATCCCATCGTGATTGGCGCATTTTGTCTAGGGAGGTAAAACCTTGCGTTTGTAATTTCTCAAGGTTTCCCTTACTTGCGAAAGATTTTCCTCGTGTTCGACATACTTTGGGGAAGTGTCTCTTTATTCTGCAGTGGTTACAAATAGCAGACTTCCCTGGGCACGGTTGATTGTCGTGTGGATTTTCGAAACCGCAGTAATAACACTTTTTCTCAGTGGGCGTTGCCATAACCGTTGCATTTATATTTTCCCTTGTTTGGAATTGTTGTTCGATCCCAACGGCTTGAGCTGAACTAGTTTCGTATTTTCGTCCATCGATTAACATGTTTGCCAAACTATATTTTGGGTCTTGTAGTGCTTTCTTTCGTAATCTTGAATAAGTGCATGCCGTTCGTAACAATCCGCATCTTCATTTCAAAATCTATGTTTGTAAATTCGCAGTATTTTGTCAAGCCTCGTAAACGCGTATGAAATTCGTCGATTGATTCTTCTTGGCCTTGCGTCGCTTGTCTAAAAACATAGGTGCGATATATCACGTTTTCCTCTGGTTCAAAATACTCCGTCAACGCTTTCACTGCTGACTTAGAATCTTTGGATTCGCCCTCTTCTAGAGGCTTGGAAAATTCGTGTACTTCGGGCCCCGCCTGATACCATAATAAAGCTCGCTTTCTCGCATCGTCTTTAATATCTGCTGCAAGTAAATATGTATTGAATCTCTCCTGCCATCGTGTCCATCTCGCAATTGTAGGATCACTCCTTGGTTCAAAAGCAGGCATAGGCTGTGTGTTTTGTGCCCCATTCTAGTTTTCTGTTATATTTATCGCGCTGTTTATTTTTACATCCTCGTCGCCATTGTATAATAGACTGAATGATGATTTATTACAAATGTCAATCAACGATTGTTACATACTTAGAAGTTAATTATTAACTTATAGCATCCTACATATACTACATGTGTGTATAACTACACATCTTTTGCAATATGGAAACCAAGGTGTGTAATTATATATACACACCTTGTATACACAATTATATATTGCATTACACACCTTGTACTTATTAAAGGTGTGTTATTTTACACACCTTTTACGCAAAGCACACCTTTGCTGAGTACACACCTTTCCCACTTTTACATATCTTTTGGATATACACACCTTTCTCAATTTTACACCGAAGAGTTATCGCGGTTTGAAAATGAGCTATTTTTGCTATTATCGAATATAGCAAAAATAGCTCATTTTCAAATCGCGATAACTCCTCGGTTTTATGGAGTAATTTCATGTTTTAAAGTGTCAATATAAATAGTAAACATTCCTGAATTCACTGATGTGATTTTACTTTAGTTTTCTTGTAAAAAGTACAATTTACTCCAGAATATTTCAATGCCACTTTTCCAACACCCAATACATGCATAAATACAATGGGAGTTTAACATAAGTAAAATGCGATATATATACAAAATTTTTCAAAACTTCTTTAATTAAATAACTAAACAAAAGGTTATCAAAACATACCTTTGAGAAAACGAGATCTTCACGGCAAAAATCGCAATATATTTCAACAGTTTTTAAAACGAACAAATAGTTGTGAATAAATACAAATTGCTGTGAATAAATAGTTGAGAATAAATAGCTTGAATAATAATCAGCCGCACTAATTCGCGCATTGCATTTTGGGAAGACCCTCATTCCTCCTCTGCCATATATCGAAGTGTGATGTTTGGATTTGAATTTTTGACTTGGAAAGTGAGTCTTGTTTGACGATTTTTTGTATCATTTTATGTTTATATCAAGCCTCGTTTGTTCGGTGAGCTAAAATGGATAGTATTTTCGAAACAAAGTCAATATTTGGTGAATATTTTTATATTTTGTAACGATTTATTTACACTTTAATTGATTATGATAGACTTGATTTTGATCGCACATTGCAGAGTGACACAATATAAAATATATTTAATACCGACATAATCCTTCGTATTACAGACGATACTTTTAATAATAGTTTTCTAAATGGTAGTATATTGTTATTGCGTTTTAGACCAAAGCTCTGAACAGAGAATTTTGCCTATGTTAAGCATGGTATTCGGACTACTTTTGTATGAAGATTCAAGGCAAGGTATGCGTCTATACAGTATAGATTGAATTTCTGCCTTGTATTAAAATCATAGGCTGTATATATCAATGAAAATGTTATGCTAATTCTTTGCCAGTAACATTATAATGGTGCTAACTAAGGTTATATTTATAAATAAAAAAATGAGCACAAGAAATGCAAAAACTTACTGATTTATATTAATTAAGCAAATTATCTGCCAATGGCAATGTTAGCCAAAATTTTAACCATTACAGCATTACTGGGCCTCTGTAGCTCAGTTGGTTAGAGCGCTGCACCGGAATCGCAGGGCCGTAGGTTCAATTCCTACCAGAGGACCTTGCACTGCATATTTGCAAATATCTTATAAGCCTTACAAAATGATAGTTCTTTCTTCGTCGGGTTTCGTTTTTCTTCAATATAAACGAAGTTTTTTTATGTTTTTGAAACAAAAATATTTAGTTATAGATATAAAACTGTAAATTGCCTAAATAATCGTCAAACACTATGGTTCCAAAAGCGTTGCCTCAAGCTCAAGCAACGTAGGAAAATATGAAAAGTAGTTGTGTAAGTTTAAAAAGATTATTGCACATCATTTATATTATAAAAGAGTTGAAATATTTATGGAACATACCTATTGTGTTTGACTTTGTCTTGATCTTTCGTTTGCCTTGCACAACAACGTTGAACATTTATTTTTAAACGATGATTTCTGTATATATTCTGTTCAGAACTGTTGCTTTTCGTAAAAAAGCCCACTAGAATGGGTTTTTAGACACTTTTTCACTTTATAAATCTTTTTTTCCATTTTAAGTCTCGATATAAAAATTTTTGCACACTTTGCAGTGGAAAAAACAATTCGCACTCCCTGCAACCGCGCGAAATTGACCGCCTCAGGAGTCTTGGTCCAACCAAAATGCCCTTATAAATCCGCCATTTTGTGGAGACAATTTATTCACTGAGAAAAGGTAGGAGTACGCATTCTATATCTATTATATCTGTGAAAATAACACACCTTTTTGCTTGCTACACAGCTTGCAAATACACACCTTGGAAGGTGTGCAAAATTACACACATTTGTTCAGATTGGTCTCAGATCACAGATCTAATTGGAATAAAAAATAAATAGAAGATGCAACGTATCTGAGTGTACAATTCACAAATTTAATAATAGCTAAAATTATTAAATATTTACAATACATAAACTAGGACTACACAATCATGCAAACATCTATACAAATTAAGATAACAATTGTTATTAACCTCTGCCAACAAAACAACTCTGATTGACATGGTCCACATAAAATTCCATCACAAAGAGTGGATAGAAGACTCGAAAACATAATGGCAGGCAATAACATACGCTGAGTATCTGATAGTTCATTATTGGTTCACATGATCTTTCATCCCTCACAACATCAACTGGAATTCTATGATCTGGAACCAAGACGTTTTTCTCGTTTGTGTTGATGGTTAATCAATATTAAAACAAAATTTGAAACATGAAACGAATATTGTTATAAGGATTTGGGGCATCTCACTCGATAGAACTAAGTGTTGAAGTTTTTTATAGATGAAATTTCGAGAACCAGGCAAGCCATGCGAGCTAAAGATTCTAGTTGTCGAGCCCTAGCTGCAAGGTCATGGGTCACAACTGCTCCTGGATAAACATATTCAAAATTTCCATCTACAAATGTACAGTTTAGAGCGCTGCACTCAGAGCCTACAGTTGCATTCTTTTGCAACTGCTCCTGGTTTACGTTAGGTCTAACAAATGTATAACATGTACACTCAAAATATCCATCTACAAAAACCTTCAATTAATTAATAATTGATTATTACACGAATATGTTTAAAAGAACGAAAATTTGGATAAACGATCTCCGAAGGAGTGAGATCTTATACTGTCAACAATTCCGGTGAGATTCTTTCATTTCTTGATCATTTTGCTATATTGTTTTGTGAAATTTCGTACCTTAGACAACGGATGCATATAAGACTATTGCTAACTGACACTAAAAACATGTTTGGGATGCGTACAAGTGGTAGCCTACAGCTAGAGTTTTTATACACATACAAAGGCAATTTTATACTACAGAGTTTGATTGTTCTATTAATAAGACCCCACAGTCTAAAACTGAATCTTGCAGTACTTTTAATTAAATGATTATTTTAGCTTATTATAATGTCAAGTGCTATTTGTATGCGTTTTTAAAATTTGGGTCTCTGAAATAGCATTTCCTGCATTCTGAGAACAATTTAAAAAATCTTAGTTTCTCAAAACAAGGTTTTAATGGTGATATTTGTAATAAATTGCATGCTAAGCATTCAAACCTAACATAAGTTTAAACAGTAATAATTTTTCTCTGTTGGTGTAATGTACTCAGGTGAATATAATGCTTGTGATGTTACTCTGAGTCTATATCCACACCGGGAAAGCTTGAAAAATATGTCT